GCATCTAGGTGGTAAAGATAAATCTCTGAGAAGTTATTGCACTTAAAGATATGCAGTTGCCTTTAAATCCTTTTGATGTGATAGGAATTGAAATTTGTTGAGAGGATTCCTGCAGCACAGTGCTGCTGCTAGAATTGCATGAACCACTTCATTCATTAAATTTTATTTAACACTTGCAGATGTATAGTTGTACTAATATAATTTTACAAAAAAAAATCAGCAATTTAAAGCCAGTATACCCATTCTGCATGAGAGAGCCTTGTGTTTATACTTTGTCTATTTTTGACAGCATTAAGAAATGTTCTGTTTCCCAAGCACTCAAAGTAACTGATTCAGTCCTGAGTCTCTGCTTTTACACCGTCCATGTCAAGGATGGGTTTTTTTTTTGATGGAACAAGCCCTAACGTCCCTCCTGAATATTTTCACATGATACATTTGAGATTTTTGCATTTTCAACATGTGAACATAACATAATACAGTCCATCCTACATTCAAATTCAGTCCTTTTCCTTGGCCTGATTGTTGAGAAATTTGCTGATGTGTTCTCCATGACTGTTTTCTGCAAGTCTGTCTTCACTGGTTAATGTATGCATTTGGAATTATATAGCTGCAGACCGCACAAAATTGGCCTGATCAGCAATCTTTTAAATGGGGCCCGAGCCATTTTCTCACTTGCATTTGATGCAGAAATAGAGCACGCCAAATCTATCCTCTGGGACAATGGCTATTCTGATCAGATCATTATTTGATGTGTATTGCTCAAACTCTCAAATGGGCCAAAGGCTGCCACTTTGGGACTTGAAAATTGCCCAGTCTACTTCAATTATCTGGAAAGACAAAGTGTCTCATAAATCTGAACAACAGGTTAAGCAAGCAGTTTCACACTGCTCCTATGGAGTCACTGCACAAGTTGTATTTTCCACCAAAAGCATGCAGTCATCAGTCTAAAAATATAGTTCACCTACCTCACTGTTGAACAGTGTTGTGTATGCATTTCAGTACAGGTATTGGTGTAGTGCCAAGTACATAAGCCACATGTTCCAATATTTGTGATTTGAATCAAACAGCATGTTCCTTTGAATGCTCATAATATATACAGAATACAGAGAGTACCCAACCAGGCAGCAATGGAAAAACCCCAGATCAAATGTCTTGAGTGCTCTTAAAGTGTGATTCTGTGTTTGGGCAGCAGTTGCCAAATATTCCTGAATGTACTAATAGCTACATTAAGAAATAACGTAAGGTGATCAACTAAGACAGTAATGCAACTCATTTACTGTTTTGAGAATTGACATACATTCAGACACAGGGACCAGTTCTCTGCAAGCATTGGCATTTTTTTTTTAATTATCAGGGAGCTCGGGGAAATCTGTAGTTCCCCATCGCTTTTCTGATGGCAATGACTCAACCAAACACCCTGTATAGAATTTGTTACAATTGTTTGGAATTTGGTATTCCTGATTAATTAAAAAAAAAAATCTTTGGCAATATGCTTCACATTTCAGTAATTTTCAAGTCATGACAATGCCTTTTTTTGTGGCCACCCTATCCAATGCTCCTCATTCCCTTTTTCTACATCACTTAGATATAATTTTTCAGAGATAAAATGTTTGCGGGTTCCAAAAGATACTTTCTTTTTCTTCATGCCTTTGCGCTCTTCTTACAACTCTACTTCCAGTCCTACATGCCTGGGAGATATCTTCACTTCAGCTCAGGCCTGTTCCTCATCCCAGTTTTAACCATTCCTCCACTGTGGCCATATTTTCAGTTGTTTCAACCCTTACACTTTGAAGTACAAATCTAATCCCTGTACCTTTCTTTTTAAGACAATTCTTAAACCTACCTTTTCAATTGGCCTAACATCTCTTTACGTGGCTTGCTGTTAAATATTGTTTGATAATCAACCTTTGAGAAGCACCTTGCGCTGTTTTACTGTGTTAAAGGAAATGTACAAGCCAGTTGTTTGGGCTCTTGTAGTACAGTGGTATGTCCCTACCTCTGAGCCAAGAGGCTTGTGTTCAAGCTCTACTGTTCCATAGGTATTGAATAACATGCCTGAACAGGCTGTTTAGAAAATATCTAAGTTGGTATAGTGGATAAAGTCACTGCTGTAGTAATCCAGAGGCCTAGGTTAACGCCCTGGGGCCACATGTTCAAAGGGTCTTGTGGTACAGTGACATTGTGCCTAGTATCTCTGAGCCAGAAGGCCTGTGTTCAAGTCCCAGAGGTGTGTCTCAACATCTCTGAACACACTGATTAAAAATATCTATGTCCATTGCATTGAGTAATGCTGATAAATCAGCCAGCGAGAACATGTGCAGAATTTGCTTCCAGCACCAACGTTCCTCCTAGATATTTCAAACAAGCAGCAGCTTAGATAAAATCTAATTCAGTCACATTAAAAACTAGGAATAGTAACTGAGACAAGAGAAAATGGAATGTAAGCTGTTACCAACTGTTCACCATATACATGTTAGGATTTTTAAAAAGATAGTCCTGTCTTTTGCCTAAAAGACGTGATTTTAATAAACATCTATCTATTGTGGTACTGTAGATACACTGATGAAAGATGTACTATTGTACAGTGAAGGTATAACCCCGTCACCCCTCTCCATACAAACAGAATCTAAAATTCCTTAACCTTTTCCAAAGTCATGCATGAAATGTCAGGTGAAGCCCTCAGGTATACGTTAGAGACCAAAATGTACAGCAAGATGATATGAATCACTGTCGCTCTAAAATGTAGAATCAGCAGTTCCAAACCCTTTCTACCTGGACATGTAAAAGGGAAAAAAGCTGTTCCAAGAGGTTTAGTATTGATTTTTTTTTTAACGAACAAAGAGACTTTCTGTGGTTACATGATATATCATAATCAGGTAATTTGTACACGTGTTTCAACAGCTGAAGAACTCTACCTTAAAAAAAATTGTCAACTTGCAAAAAAGTACAGAATACATCCAATATTGAGCTTTTAACAAACAAAAAATCTTATTGAAAAGATCAAATGTCAGCTATTTTCGTTGAAAACGTTGTTTCGCGATATGTTACAATATTCTAATCACTGTGTTGACCTCTTACCTCCCATTCCCCCTCCTCGGGTTACATATGATTAGAAACATTGTGCTCTCTAGAGTGAATTTTCCTTGCTGTGCTGTATTTGCTTCAAAGAAAATTTACACCTCTGAATCAAAAATCAATAGTATCTTGATCCAGCATACAACAGACATCCTACGTAGTGCCAAGGAAAACCGATTAAATAGAAGGACTGCCTCCATGAGGCAATGAAACAACTCTGAAATATATCCTAACACGAAGATGTATATCTAAAGCTATACCAAGGAGAAAATAGACACCCAACTCCCTCCAATCACTTCATCCTGCAGTAAAATATAATTCTTCCCATGGTTCAATCTGTGCCTCTCACCATGAAGCTAAGAGATTTTTTTCCTCCCAATGGCCACTTCATGTTAAACAGCATTGAAATGTACAATAGCATACCTGTCTCCATTGCATAATCTGTGATGAAGACAGACAATAAAAATGATGACTTTTACAACAAATTACATGACAAGATTTCAAGTTCTAAGACTTTTATTGTAATAAGCTGAACATGACATCAACTAAACATCATCTAATAGGTAACTAATACTCTAAACTACAAAGAAGAAAACTCTTATTAATCTTTTAATGTGCCTAATAGCCCCACACCATGTGCGTACATGATATAACAACATGCTCTCCAATGGATTAGTCTTTTAGGAAACAGTCCTCAGCCACTTCCAGCTTCCTATGGGTTCACAGTCAACACAGTGTGGAGCTGAAGGAACACAGCAGGTCAGGCAGCATCAGAGTAGTAGGAAGGTTGACATCTTGGGTCGGGACCCTTCTTCAGTTCTGAAGAACACCTACTGAGTTGCTCCTCCTCCACACTCTGTTGACTCCGACTCCAGCATCTGCAGTTCTTGGTATCTTCCTACGGGTTCACATTTCCCTGCTTCACTGAATTGTAACATATTAACTGTTGAAGGCTTTTTCCGTCAGTTTGAGAATTGTCAACCAGCTACCGGCAATAAAGTCTGTCCTAGCAATTTGTCTTCATTGCTTTGGTAGGGCGAATCTTCCATCGTCTTTTTGATTAGAGTCCATCCTCACTACAGTGTTTTATCTGGCAATTTGCCAAGGAATTGCAAGTTGCTTCTCTCTGCTGACTACACTAGTTGTACTCTTTTTTGTCTATCTGAGTTTCTGCTTGTGTCTTTCTTTCTCGTTCTCTCTTTCTATCTATCTCTCTCTCAAAAATCAGAGGTCTGTCCAAAGTTTAGCCCATCTGCTTCTCCCTTTGTTTTCAAGTCTGAGCATTTTGCACCTAATTTTCAGTAAGTTTGAGTCCCCTGTCCCGACTAACCAGGCAACCCAAATTGTTATGGAGCAGAATTCAAAACATCTCGTGACCCTCTTTATTCCTGGATTCATCTGTGGGTGGCACGGTGGCTCAGTGGTTGGCACTGTTGTCTCACAGCACCAGGGAACCGTATTCCAGCTTTGGGTGACTGAGCAAACTCCACACATGGGTTTACTCCGGGTGCTCCGATTTCCTTCCACAGTCCAAAGATGTGCAGTTTAGGTGGATTGACTATGATAAATTGCCCTGTGGTGTCCAGGGATATGCAGGCTAGGTGGGTTAGCTATAAATACAGGGTTGGGGGACTGGGTCTAAGTGGGATGCTTTTCAGAGGGTCAGTGCAGACTTGATAGGCTGAAAGGCCCTTTTCCACGTTGTAGGGATTCTATGATTCTGTTTGTTTGACCTAGAATTAAAGACAGTCCAAAGCGCGTTGTCTTATAAAGCATTGCATTTGTAGCAGAACAAAGGAAATGTACAAAAGCAAGTGGGTGAACTGGTCGGGGAATTGTAAAGCACATGTTTTGAATTCAATTGATTAGGAAACCATGTCACCAGGAGGAATTTCTGAAACTGGCAAATGCAGCAGATGGAGTCTTTGAAAAGTTGAGACCTAAGTCATGTGGAGAGGTGGAACTTGGTGGTAGCCTATGGTAACAAAAATGTGCATCAGGCCTTCACCTGTGGTTGTCAAGTCGAGGGCTGAGGTAATTGATATTTCCAAGATATAGGTAAGCTATCTTCCATACTACCTTCCTTCTAGTCATCACCAGAGATGTGCAGGCTATATTTAAACAGATAGAAATAGAACCAACAACTACTTTTATTATATAGTGCCTTCAAGACAATAAAATATCCCAAGGCATTTCAAAGGCGCATTATTCAAGCAAAATTTGACAGTGACCTATTTAAGAAGATCTTAGGCAGCTGAGCAAGAACTTGAACAACTAGGTTAAGGAGAATGTCTTAAAGATGGAAAGAGAAGGGGAGAGGGAATTCCAGCCCTTCATGCATTGGCAGCTGAAGGTACAGCCACCATTAGTGGAGCTACTATAATCGGAAATGTTTGAAATCAGCATTAGGGAGCAGGTATCTCAGTAGGGGTTGGAGGAGATTAAAAATAGGGAAGGGCAAGGTGAGGGAGGGTGGGATGTTAAATCAAGGATACAAATTTTAAAATTGATGCTCTGATTAACAGAGAGCCAATGTGGCTCAGCAAATAAGGGGCAATGGGTGAAAGGAACAATGTGATGGTTAGGATACAGGCAACACAGCTTTGGATGATCTCCAGTTTATGAAAAGCAGAAAATGAAATTGGTTGGCTGATAATCAAGTCTAAGTAGCAGATAAGAAGGAGGACCTGAAGGGCAGAAATGGAGTCTTGCGATGATACAGAGTTTTGGATGTAGGCTGTTTTAATGATGTTCCTGGGATCAAGATAATTTTGTCCTTCTGAAAGCTCAACATGGCTAAAGAGTAGAAGAAGAGGTATTTTTTAGGAAAAATGTTCATACAAACCTTTCTTTAGATTTTATCACCAAATAAGTGAAGTATGGAAACTGTAAATGCCGTTTCATGCTGCAAGAACACCTAGCCGTCAGGAACTGTCTGTTTCTACAAAGATAAGAAAAATTGTGTGAGTTAATATATTTAACAAGTGTCAGTGTAATGGGTTAGTTGGAAAGTGACTAAATGCCCCCAATTAGAAATAAAATTTAGAGGTCAGTTGTCTAAGAGTAGAGCTTATGGCTTTTACTTAATATCGTGCTGAATCAAACAAATGCTATGTGTTATATTGAATAGCAACATGTATTTTTGATTCAAAATCTGGTTAAATATTCAATTCTAAACAACATCATGAATTTTCCCCATTGATCTTGGTTCATGTAGTCTGTGCAAATAATCTAATTTTAGCTGGGGTGGGATTGTTGTATAAAACTATCCATTCAAAGCTGAAGTTTAAACTGGCAATCATTCATAGACACCATGATAAGTGTCTTGTGAAGTGCAAATTTTATTTTAGTGCGCTAATGCATAGCTTATAAGGCTTTCATTAAGATATATCATCGGTGGGAGTTTAGGAGGAACATTGCATTAAAGTTCCAATTTTTCTTTGGACTGCATTATGCTGGTGATGTTTATTTTAAAAAAAAAACATTTTGCATTCTCCTGGTATAGGGTCCCTTGCATTAATAACACAGTGTGCTATCAGAATGCCCGTCTCCCTCTTGCAAACGTAATGATTCCAAGCTATCATTATTTGTAATACTTGTACAGGTAGTTCTCCTATAACACAATACTTGTGTTCTTGTGTGACTTCATGCTATAGAAAATCGTGCTGTAGAAATCACGTTATAGGGAAATTGGTATACAGTACAGTAGAAAGTTTGCGTTACCCAAACAGTGTCCACTATTCATCAATTGTGTTACAGCCAATTTGCGTTAACAAAACATGTGTTATAGCAGAAATACCTGTAAGCCAAGATTTTCCTTTCAATTCAGTTTTTGATGTGCAAGAGGCAGAATTGGAGAAAGGTGGATTTTATCATGTTCTAAGGGATAAGGAGAGGTAATGCATAGAAGGATTTGAAAACAAAGATAAGGTTTTAAAAATTGAACTATTACCAAACTGGAAACCATGACGACGAAGGGATCTTGGTGCAAGTTAAGGCACAGGATATAGAGATTTAAATGAACTCTACAGAATGGCAGCCTTCAATAGATTCATTTTACTCACCAAAATGCATTTAATCTTATCTGAGTATCTCCCATTGCTACACATTATTTGTTTGTTTTATCATTTGGCACTGTAGGTTCTATACTAAGGGGATACTGCATTACTAATAGTTCTGTCTTTTGGGGAGATGCTACACTTGGACCACCATCAGATGAACTTAAAAGATTCCATGGCTGTAATTCAGAAAGAGCATGTTCAGAATGTATACCTTCACCCTCTTGTGAGCAAGACCAAACAAGTTGAACTGCTCAGTAATTTCATTTTGAGTGGGACCTTGCTGCGGTTACCCAGCTAAATGATTGCATGATGTAAATCACACCTCATTGATCACCTGAAGGTTGTCTTTGAGGCTCACTGGGGGGAATGCCTAATAAAGTAACAGAAATGAGTTGTTAAAATAAAGGTTTAGTTGAAAAATGTATCCCTCGGAAGATGGTTGAGCAAAACATTCGGATGCAGATACAAAGCGAAGCCAGTCATGTTATTCTTAAGTTTCATGAAAAAACGCAGGTCCAACCATAGAGAGGTGACCTCCACCAAGGACAGAGCCAGGAGACCGGCTCCAAATCCATCCCAGCCAAAAAGGAGATCAAGCCCAATGTTTTTGCCGCAAATCTGACCTCTTGGATGGACCACTTGCCTGATTAGCTGGTGCGAATCAGAGTTTCTTTGATAACAAACATGTACGTTCTAGTCTTGAGCTTGAGATAGTGATGATAGAGGGACCGATTTCTTCCTATCACATGACTGAGGATTTCTTCAGCTTTTACTGCCTGCTATTGGCACATGTGGGAAGGATTTACAAGTTGACCTCAACCTGTTTGTCACATTATGAATGCACCGTCTTTGGCCATCAAGTCGTGGACTGGGACTTGAACCGGAGTTTCTGGCTCAGAGGGAGGGAGGCAACAACTGTGCCACAAAATTGCTATCGAGTAAAATGTTGAATTCAAAACTAATGAAACTGCACACTTGTAAGTTTCTCCATGAAAGTTTGTGTATGTAAATGAGATTTTTCTTACTAGTATAATGCCATGTTGAATAGTCTGGTATTCTATACAGAGAGGGCATGACTGGCTAGGTCAGCATTATTGACCATCCCTAATTGCACAAGGGGTAGTTAAGAGTCAAACCCATTTCTGTGGGCTTGGAGCTACATTTTGGCCAGCCCAGGTAAGGCTGTCATATTTCCTTTCTTAAAGGACAGTAGTGAACCAGATGGGTTTTAATGACACTGACAATTGACAGTGGTTACATGGTCATCGTTCAGCTACCTTTTTTTCCCCCATATTTTTATTGAATGAAAATTTCATAGGATTCGAACCCAAGACCCGAGAGCAAACATGCTGTCTGCACATATAATTGTGAGAGAAGCCTAGGCAATTGGCAAATTCATGTGGGAACTGAAGATATCTATTTTGATGTTCAAGCATTATTGATACTGAGGAATCAAAACCCTTTCATGTTAGAAGTGATTGGCAGCAGAGGGAATGGGACCTTCTGGTCCATTGACCCATATCGGTTGGTTTTGTAGAGAGGGTTTTCTCCTTGAATTTAAGGAGAATACGTAGTAAACTTCTGGTATTGTAGATTAGATAGCCAATTGTAGTAATCTACATTTTGCAGATTTATAAAGGTACTGTTATCAATAAGGCACCATCAAGACTCAAGACTGTATAAAGTTGACAGCCTTGTCACACTGTTTTCTAAACAATCTGAATCTATCAGTTGCCCAGAAGCCTGGCTTTCCAAGTCTGTTTAACCTGTAAGCTGTCTGAAATTTTACTCCTAGAAGTCTCACCTATTTGCAATGATCTTTGAAACTGGTCTCAGCTATAATTTGGTAGCCAGTGGTTTTTTGACACACAACTTCAGTTGCCCTACTGACTTACCTTTCTAAACAATTCTAAACAAAGATGGTAATTTCCCATTATTTATTGCTAGTCAACCTGCTAGCCTACTGTGACTACATGTTTTTATACAGACTGTCACAGGATTGTGAACGAGTTCTGCTCTGGAATCCGTATACAAGTGGGAACACACAGCTATCTAATCTACACTACCAGAAGTTTACAATGTAAAGGAGACATTCATAATTACAAGAAATGTTTGTATGCTGGGTCTTTAAAATTTCACTCCTGTCTGAGATCACACTCGTAAATCAGATGTTTGTAAATCAGGGACCCCTTTATCTCTTAATTTTTTTGTATACACAGTGTTTAACTTTAACTTGTGATTTTGTAGTCCATATGTAAATGATGGTGTGCAGGCAATTCAGTTCTATCCACTCAACATTAAGGAGCAATTGAATACGTGAAATACAATTAAGTATGTGGGCTCTGGGAACTCCTCAGCTGGAGTGCTAAAGATTTGTGTACCACAAACAGCTGCTCCCCTGACCAAATTGTCCCATCATAGTTAAAACATTGCTGTACCTAGTGATGTGTAAGATTGAAGAGGCATCCCCTATTCTAAAACAAAAGACCTGATGAATCTAACTTAGTGAATTACTGCTTAACAATAATTTGCATTTGTATAAATCTCTTTTTAACATAGTAATTATGTCTAAAAGTGCAGCAAAGGGGCGTAATTATATAAACAAATACACATAATGTTAAAGAAGCTATCAGGATAAATGCTCAACAGCTTGGTTAGAGGTAGGTATTAATGAGTGCCTTAGTGGGTGCTAGTGGTGGAGAGCTTTCAAGAGAGAGTTCCAGAGTTTAGGACCCAGGAAGCTGATGGCACAGCTGCCAGTATGGAGGAACAGGCTAGAGACTAAATTTGGTGAGAGTACAGAGATCTGAGTCTTGTATAGCTAGAGAAAGTTGCAGAGATAAGGAGGGATTAGAACATGTGGATGTGAATGTGAATTGGAAAGTAGAGATGATCGGGAACTGAAAGCCAGTGTGGACCAGGGAATGTAGAGGTGATTTAGAATTGGATTTGTTGCAAGTTTTGTGGCAGTCA